CTATAAATACGAATGCTGCGTCTCATATTTTTATGGCATATATTTTATATAAAGGGCAAGGGCAATGGCCGGGTAAAGAGGGGGCAAGGCTCTTTGCTCGGCAATCCAATTGTCATTCGTGACAGCTGTCGATCAGAAATGGCGGCTGAAAATTCTGTTTATGTATTTGTATTTAACGGTGGTTGGTACTCAATTCATTGACAGCCGCGTCTCAATTCTCAACTCTCAATTGAATTGCGATTTTCATGTAATTGCCGCCCTTTGTTTAGCCGCATGTTTGCCATATTTTGTAAATTATATAGCATTTACATAATCTCGATCTCTTCGACAGAAATGTCATAGAGTAACACGATACGATACGTTATGATATGATATGATGTTTCGTTACTCTGCAGAGCATATAGACATATAATTAACATGCTAATTTATACCAAAAAATTAATCTCCCAAGGCATAAGTCGAATTCAGCTGAAATGTCTGTTTTGTACTGTCAAAACTATTTAAATTAATTTAAAATACAGACGTCGTCCATATTCAAGGTCCTTATTACATAAACAAAAAGCATTTTCCCTTAGTATAAATAAAAAGTTAAGTTAAAGTTAAAGAATAAAAGTTCGACGTTGAAAACATTTTGCACATATATGGAGATCATAGTGGAGCTAATAATTATCTTAATTTAAAAAAAAAAAAGGTATACGAATCAAAGCCTACATTTCTACCGATCGGTTGCTATGGTAGCTATATGACACAGAAGTCGGATCGGCCTTTTCTGACATATGAACTGAACAGAAAGGACGATAGCTGAAAAACTGAGAAACTAAGTAGTTCGCATAGAACAGACAGGCGGACATGCGGACATGTGAGCTTGCGGACATGCGGATATGCGGACATGCGGACATGCAGACATGCGTACATGCAGACATGCAGACATGTAGACATGCGGCCATGCGCATATGCATACATGTCTGTATCAATTCGGCTTTTAATGCAGATCAAGAACGTATATACTTAATAGGGTCGGAGTTGTGTCTACTATTAAAAATAATAATAAATAATTTATTAATAATAATTAAAATGTTTAAATAATATTAAAAATAATTAATTAGTTAATAATCGATATTTGTGATGGATGACATATCTCGCAGCTTAAAAGAGCTGCAGACAAATACAAATATATTTTACTTTTTGAACACCTTTCCCACTCCCCGAATTTCGAAAATAAACTCATGCCTTCGATAGCCTTGAGCTGTGCCCCATATTAAAGAGCCTTGTGCGCCGCTTGACTGCTGCAGTTGCACCTTGCCACCGATCAAGTGACATGCACATTAAACCCAATTGTTGTCTGCCTGATTTCTGATTCAAATATCGCGCCGGGAAGGGGACGAATCAATTTTGGATTATGTCTGTTTGATGTTTGGCAACTGCGTCACACCTTGCCAACAACAACAAGAAGAAGAACCCGCCAAACACCTTTCGGCAAATGTGAACGCCCGCCCGTACACAATGTTCGAGTACATTCACATTATTCACAAAAATTCGAATACAATTTACAAAACTGCTGGCGGAGACATCCGCGCTGAGAAATTGCCCAAACGCAATTGTTTTGCAACTCCTAAAATCACAGAGGTATTACCTGAAAGGGGACGGGGGTGGAAGTGGAAGGGAAGGCGAGACGAGCCGCTTTTGCATTCCCGCAGAAAAACATCTGTCGCGGCGGCTGACGGAAGTCGTATCTGACGGCACGCCCCACACTTCAGGCACGCGGCAATCGCTTGGCAAAAGAAGAGGGCGCCTCTCGCCAAAGGTGGGCATGGCCCTGTCACCTTTTACACTGCAAGCTGCGATTTTGCGACGTTGCGACGTTGCGACAGAAGTTACGGAAATTATTCATAATTTTCCACCACGTGGCATGTGACATGTTGTCGGAAGATGTTATCGCTAACTCACAATAAGGGTTGTCTGTCAACGGAAGCCGGCGGCAGATAATGGAGAGAGAAGGGGCATTGCAGGCAGCAAGAGAATCAATTGCCAGCATTTCGGGGAACTAGCTTGACCGGACTTTATTAGGCGCTAAGGCCCGAGGGCACGAGCTATTTACAAAATATCAATAAGTGTGTGTGTGTATGCAGGACTAACAGATACCCTGCACACAAAGCATTAAGCAAATAGTCTCGCCCTATGCCCGAGCTCAGTTGCCGTATAAAAAGAAAAAAGATAGACGAGTCATGGGCTTCCATGTGCATGTGCATGTACCAAAATCCAGGACTATAGAACTTTAATCTGAAAGGAAGGTGTGGAAGGTATGGAAGTTTATGCTATCTAAGAACTTATATGCTAAATTTTGAATCTCCTGATCTGATAGTTCCCGAGCACTGATTTAGAAACTAAAACTGGGTATCGATATAAATCGATTACAGTTATCAGTGTAATCGAACAGTTTATCGGGAAGAGATAAAAGAAGCCAGGACCTTAATACCGAAGAAGTCTTCAGGATATTCTGGACCTCCAGCTCTTATTATTCCCGAGATGGGCTCAAGAAACCAGAGAAAAGATTCGATATTTTTCTATTGTTATGAATTACATGAGAGTATAAGCCGACAACCCTAAGCCGTTTCTAGCTCTTATAAAACCTGCGATTGACATTTGTTAGGAATGAAGATGGGCATAAAATAAAAGACATAGGAAGTTGCTTCTCTAGCAACTAACAACTTAATCAAGTATAATAGTATCTTTATACTAATATATAGTCGTGTTGTTATCGATATGTAAAATCGATATTTATCGATTTTAGAGAAATAGGGCAGAAGTCGAGTAAAAATAAACCATCACAAACCTTAATTATCCTAGTAGACATTGCTAAACGTACTTGGATAGATCGACTCGACTCATCTCAAAGGGTATTCAAAACAAAAAACAAAACTGTTTATGGGTTTCCTTATGATAATGACGTGATAATTGCTTTTCACTTGGATAGCATCAGAAATCACAGTAGTCAGGCGTCGGTCGTCGGGCGTCGGGCGTTGGGCGTCTGTCCTTGTGTCCGTCGTCATCCGGTTGCGGAATCCTTGCAAGTGACACATTCACATTTTATAGCACAAGTTCAAAGGACTTTCGGGGCACACCTGCTGTGCGCTTTTAATTGCAATGTGACGAAGATGCCAAAACCGAAGCCGAAATATGCCGGCAACCTGACAGGATTAAGAAGCGACCGCCCGGCGCTTGGAAACAAAGTAATTACAGGGCCATGAGAAAACTGAGAAAATAAAAACGTAAAAATAAAATAAAAATAAAATATATATGTATAGAAACATAAATCGAAAATAAAGCGCTTCAATTAGACGCAGGACACAGCAAGTGTCGCACGGTGACAGCTTTCCACCCAGGACGAGCCGGAAGAGAACGCCACAACATTTCAAAAAAAAAAAAAAAAAAAGAAGTCTATGGAAAATGTTGTATTAGCGGCGCAAAGGAAATCGCTTCTAATAGCCAGCGCCACGTGTGTCCTGTGCAGTCGTGTGTCAGAAAAAAGGACGACCGCAGCTCACACCCAGCGACTGGCTCCCAGGACTCAATGGACTCCTCTACTCTATCTGGCCCAATGCCAAACAATACAATTGAAAAATTATCAAAAATTTCGCACTTCTAATCCAACCGATGCGTAAATGCCGCCGACTACCGGACCCCAGCGACATCCGTTGCGGTAATGCCTGAGCGGCCAGAGATACACTTGATCCCGGCGCAGAGCACGCGCCGGCTGCTGTCGAGGGCGATGAGCGTTTGAGAGGGTGACAAGACGGGCAGACATCATCAATATCTGCGCCCGGGGTCTGTCAAATAAGCGTAGCTAATGTGTATTAAGTGCACTTTGCCCAAGGTTCCGGTCAGGGAGGAACACAAACTTCTGGCCGTGCATAAGTTAAGCTAATCACGGTAATAGCCACGGTTCATGCAAATGTTTTATGGACAGTTATAGATGCGATATGAAGTCAAGTGGCAAGGTCAATCAGGGTGACACGGTTTGATTTGTATAAGAAGGCAATACGAAATTAAAGTCGGAGGACGAAATAGCAGAAATATAGAATTTATAAAACAAAAACCAAGATATTAATATTTATAATAATTTTGTAAGCTAATTATTTAATTGAATTGGCTGTTCAATTTGCTGTTACCCAAACTCATCTCAAAAAATATCGATTAATTGCTTTCGTTGACCAACACTGAGATTAGGGTGACCAGACGCTGTTTATTATCGAACGAGCTGTGCAAGCTGTACTCATGTATGTTAGCTGACTCAGTTCTCTTTTAAGACGACGAATGTAGATAAAGAACATGAAGATGAATGTATTGTTATTGAGTTATTATAATAAATTCATCCCCACCTTCATCTACTAGAACTTCAACTATTTATAGAAACATACCTCACAGCTGCTTTTGATGGCATTTTGGCCTTCTTCTAAGGCATCTACATCCATAATAAGCCCGAATCCTGGTCGCTTAGTTGCCTGAATGAGCATAGCTTCGATATTGGCCCTGCTCATCCAGTTCAAGCAAAAATACAGCTTGAAATAACCTAAAATTAAGCGAACGTGCCAACTCACTCGAACTTAGTATGCATCTAGACAAGCTGTTTAGCCTCTTTCTTATTATACGAATCATTTAAAACTAGTTTGTCTTTGCTTATTTGTACCAACTTTTAGCTGCTTTCGCCTTTCTACGCGGCAAACAACACACGCTGTGCCCAGCCTAACCTCACTTTTTTCTTATTTTTTGCACCAGAGCTCATAAAATTAGCTATACAATGCCTTAAGGTATTATTTTACGCAAACAAACTTGGCTTGAATACAATACACAATGCCAAGGGCTGTTATTTACTGAAATTACAAACTGGAATTTGTTTTTTTTTTTTCCTTTTAAAATACGCTTTTAGAACGTTGAATCACCATAACCTCATTTTTAATGATTGGGACTTGAAAAGACTTTGTTTGATTGTTTTGCGCAAATTTTTTTTGTTTTTTTTTGTTTTTTGATTCTATCAAGATAATTTAATATTTGTAATCAATAACAGGCTTACAACTAAGCTACAATTAACCCATAGAGCCCAGATATAACAATAAGTCTCGATCGCGTTGCAGGCAATTAACTAGCCCCAAAAATAAAAGATCATTGCCCGTAAACAGGTTGGGAATTAGGAGAAGTGCATGCCATTGAACTTTTCGCGATTATCCTTGACCATATTATTGTACTTCCATTTCTCGGCGCTGGAGGCCTGACTGCTCCAGGCGCCCGAGCTGGAGCTGGGGCTGGACGTTGTCTTCGGTTGGGATTTGCCCTGTCCGGCATTGTCCTTGCTGCTCGAGAGGCACAGGTCGGTGCGTTCCGTGTAGACCATTTTGCCGCGTTTGCTTAGGCTGATTTCTCGGGGCTTGATGAGTTCAATTGTTTAGCCGTTTTTTAATGCCAAATTTTAATTCCAATTTTCACAGAGCTGCGCGATTTAGATTTGAAATGCTGGCTGGTGTAGCTTCAGGTTCAAAGTTCAACAGTTCACGGCACAGTTTGCAGCAGCGTCAAAACTTTCAGTTCCTTATTGTTGGCCGAGTTGCCCGTGCGAGATCCTTTGCTGCACGACAGACTTTTGTCCAATCTGCAAGTGAACGAACATAATCTGAATGCTGGCTGGCTGGCCTTGCGACGTTAGACAACACTGGACTTACCCTAATTGTTTGAATAGTTTGTTTTTGGTATCCGTTTTGCTAATTTTTGGCATTGACACAAAACTTTTGCAATTTGCACATTGGTATCGAAAATTAAAATATATTATTATTATTTGCAAGGATTGTGAACGATGACTGCCAAGCGCTTGGATCGAATGCAACGTTCGCCTCTGTTCGGAACTTTCTACTGAGCCTCTAACGATGCCTGCAACTGGCTTAAATAAGCGAACTGCTGCCAACTGCTGCGATTGCTACAAAATGGAGAGCACGATGTTCAGCGTTACGGTTCTAAGCAGCTGCAAGGCAACGTGTCGCATGAGCAATAAAGAAAGCCCCCGACAACGGCTCCCCACACCCCCCCCCCCCCCTCCGACCACCCCCAAACCCTACGACACCGACCCTGTGTATCAGACCCAGAGCACAGAGCCCCAGACTCGGACGCAGACAAAAACTCGTTGAGCGACGTCGTCGTCGTCGTCGTCGTCGTCGGCGGCGACAATGCAAATTAGAGTTGCCAACTAACTGGTTTGTCAGAAAACGAAACAGAAAACAAGCGGCAAGCATGCACGACTAGCAGATACCCTATAGCAAGGTCAAGGTTATTACCTAACCTATCACACTCAACTCAATTTGATATTTCTTGTTAATTACAAACATTTTTGCTTAACTAAAGAACAAGCGCAAAAATAAAATATTCGACTAAAATATACCCAGTAGCAGGATCTATAGGATCTATACGCAAGTAACTCAGGTATTTCTTGTACAATCTTTCGAAAATTTCTAAAATGTCACAAATCATGCTTCGATTAAATTCATATATATTTTTTAATATATTATGCCTATATTTCTTTTTTGGATTTTGCTTTTCTTGTAGTCGAAAACAAATGTAATCAAATGCTAAAAAAGGGTATCTATTTGTGCAGCTCAACTTTATCTAAGCCTAATCTTATTAACTACAAACAATTAAGAAATTGAGCAACATGTTGTTTGTCGATTTTGCAGCATTCACACAAACAAGCGGAAAATGAGTGAAACCGAAAGCAACAATTTTATGAACTTATTGTTCGAGAATATACTTTACTTTATTTAAGTATATTCTCGAACTTTATGCCTAGTTAAATTCGAAAATATATTCCACTATCATGATACCCTCTCTGATAGCTTCACTGAATACAGGATATACAATAAAAAAAAAAGAGACCCCTCCACAGTCCCGCCTGTTGACAACTGTCCGAACCTGCCGAGACTCACGTAGTACGAGTTAGTGCGTCAGCTTTTGCCACCGGCCGGCTCTAGGGTTCGTTTCGCGTACATATTTCTATGAGGAACTCGGTTTAGATGAGTTATCTTAACATTTTAGCATTGTTTTCTTTTCTTTTGTCAGTTTTTCAACACTGTCGCATTTCCATTCGGCTGCCGTGTGGCCATCGCATGAATAATATGAATATGTATATCGAATGCCTTTGCGAGTCTATATATCGCCAGATTATGCATGGGCTTCACTGATGAAAAGTGCCCGTTGCATTGCATCAGCCAATTTGGTCATGAAATCAACATGAAAGCCTGTTGCCAGTTTAATGTATTTGTATTTAAATCCGTTGTTGTTGTCGATTATATAGCTGTAGACCGATCTGTGCTATACATTACAATAAACAATCCCATAAATGTCGAATATATATATTTATATATATTATTGTTAAGTTCTAGGTTGGGTTTCTTTTACGATCATTGCTGAGGACATCAAGAGGTTGCTAATTAAGAAAATTATCCAAAATAGATTTCATATACATGGGATTGAAGACATTCAAAAATTAACTAAAAAGAATTCCTTTACAGAACGAGCATTCCCGATTATCGCATTCTCAAGTTACTTTAGGCACTAAGAAGAAGAATTTTATTTTTAAAAACATTTTTAAGTTTTGAGATTATTCCATCCTCGAGTTTACATTGCAAACTCGTAAACTATATTATTTAAATTAGTTTCAGTTCAAATAACATTGCTGACTTTAATTAGATATCTTAAGAAATCAAGTAAATGTTTCGAACTACTCGCAGCAAATGCCTAAGTGATACGATATAGGTAAGCCCATATACATAACTTTAACCAGAAATACGAAACTATTTAACAATGGGCCCTACTCAAAACTAAAGCTAATTGATATATTGCGACTGGCCCTTTGATTAGGCAACGCCGACTCCATTAAGTATATTATATAAATATATCGTTTATCAAACTCGTCTGTTCTCATCTGTGAACAAGTTTCTGGGAATGAAATTAATGTAATTGTTTTTATAATACTTTATACAAAAGCTATGTGTATATATTATTTGTTCTACAATTCGATTAATAAAACAAAAATGCGGCCGTTGACTGTAGCAAAAAAAAAAACAAGAAACTGGGTATTGTTGTACTTTGTTGTACGAATGGGTTCCTCTCGCCTAAATGTCAATATTTGCACTTGACTCTCGCTTGAAAATTGAATCGGGGCTAATTTCAAGCCAGACCGTTAAATGCCAAAATGTTGCAGTATGCAAATATCAGCCAGACACATGAATTAATCTATTGTTTAATTGTTAATTCTGGCAACGTGCCCAGACAGTCGTCCCCACAGAATATTCCACTACGGTACAGGTTCCCAGCGAAAAAGAAAAGCAAAAAACAGACCAACATTTTTATATATAAAGTGAGCTGCAGCTACAGACAAATATTTTGGCCAAATTCTTGGAGCTGGAACTTAATTTTCTAAAAATAGTTTGTTGACAAATGCGGGATTTTTTTGTTTTTTAACTTAGTCAAAAATAATTGAATAAAGCTTGTGTTGCATAACTTACGCTCGTTTCAAGCGTAAGTTGACTTGGTTGAAAAAGAAATGGGAAATATTTAAATGCGTTTCATTTAAATTAAAAGTAGGTTGAATTGAAGTAAGAGGCAAAATTGTTTCAGGTTGTAGGCAAACTCGAAAACAAACTAGTTTTAAGAGCGCTGAACTTAATTAAAGTCAAGTCGTTTAAGCCTAACTTACGCTCATTTCAAGCGTAACTTGACTTAATTAGATAGGAAATGAGAAACATTTAAATGGGTTTCATTTTAATTAAAAGTTTATTTAATTAAGTAAGAAGTGACACAGTTTTTCTTAGAGGCTTTCAGATTGAAAGCAAGCTTAAAAACAAACACTGAATTTGATTTCAGTCAAGTCGATTCTACAATGCTTTTATGCAAGAATATTAAGCTCAATTGCACTTAATGCCAATTATTAAGTACTTAAAAGCTGGCAAGCACCTCAATTTTAGTAAAACTTAGTTCTCATAGAATCTACCAAACTTTCATCTTGCGGGGAACTCCCAATTTGTTTATTTTCCACAAATGTTCAGGCGTTTGCAGGATTATGACGTAGTTTGCGAAATGTTTCACCTGTTGTGGTGCAGCATTGACGCATAGCATGCCGATGAGATCTTTGATTGGTTTGTATTCGTGTTTTTTGGCTGTTTTCAAAACAATCCGAGATTTGCATATGCGTCTGGCCGTAACTTGTTTGGCGGCCAACCACGACAACAACTTGGCTAACACGCTCCGGCCGCATGATGCGGCATTTGCCAACTAGATCAGCGCTACGAGCCGGACTATAAAAGCCTCACTCAAATGCCGCTTTCAAAACACAACCCAAACAGCAAGCAACGTGGCCTAAGCCAAACGCAAAAAAACCAATAAACAACTTTAAAAGTTTATCAAATAAACCTAGTCAAAATATTTCTGAAGAGGTGCCAAAGCAAATGTGTCAATGAGGACACCGGACACCAAAGCGAAGCTTTTAAATAATTTAAGGTGAGTTTAACTAGCAGAAAAAAGCAGGAAGAGAACTTTAAACAATATTTGTTTATCTCAAGTCAAGCAGTTAATGTGACTTAAATTTTCTAAAATAGATTCCATAAAAGCACTTCAAATATAATCTCAAGAATTTCTGAATGAACTTTGCTGCAATTTTTAAAAAAGTCTTTAAATGTGACTTAAATGCTGTCAAAACGATTCGAAAATATTAGCTCAAGGATCTTCATCTTACTTTAAGAATTTGCTTAATTTGAAACTAAAAAAATCATGTTAATCTTTTTTAATCCATTTTTTTGCCACACAAACAACTAGAATTAGCCTTATATTAAAAATCTCTCTTTATATTGCAGCCTCTCCAAGCATCTCTCCTCTAAAAAGGGATCTCGCACCAGCAACTGCGGCAATCGTCTGGAATTTGCCGTGCTAACGCATCTAACCAACGTGCCCTGACTTCAGTCACATTCAGCCACTTGTACTTTTTGTAACTGCAACGAATTTCAAATACCCTCTCTGCAAAATGGTCCATCAAACTCGCACCGCCAGCAAGGCCATCCCAGCCAAGCATTTGAGCCCCATGCGCAGCACGGATATGCAGCTCGGCAAATATGCCGTCTCTACAAGTCCTGCCGATAGTTTTTTGCGCAACACGAGGCTCAATGTGAATGCAACCGGAACTGGAAACGGAACCGGCTCTGCCAATACAGCTGCCTATAAATACAACAATATGGTCAATAATAATCGGGAGCAGTTCAATGCACTGCACTTCTGCTAAGCCTCATGATGTTGTCGATGATGTTTTTAATAAATATATAATTTCATATATATATCAAATTAATTGTGACGCCTGTTTTAACTCATAAATCGCAGTCACGTGTCGCTGCATACAATTTTCATATGTTTCTTTTTTTTTTTCTTTGGATTTTCCTCTGGCAAATTAAATTATTAGCAAACGTTCCCCTCGCCAAAGCCGACGGCTGAAAAACATTTTTCATTGTTTGCGGCTGTCTGCGCCCACTTTATCATCGCATGCAAATCACATATGCGAGTGTGTGTGCGGGTGTGTGTGTGCGGGTGGGTGTGTGTGCGCGTGGCCACATTTCGCACATTTCACATTCAGTTTTTTTCCACACACACAAACATTCGCCATATTTTTACATTAGTGCAAAATCAAAATCCAAACAGTCGCTCGGCTTTGCATAAATTTTGATTAGCTCCGAGCCGATTTCCCGCAAGAAATGCGGCTTTAAAAATAGCTTGACTTGACTTTCCCCAAGTAAACCAAAGTTGACAACATTTTAAGCAACTTTTGCTGGTAAGGGAAAGAAGTGAATTCAAAAGTGCAGAGATCTTCTGCTTTGTTATCGATAGGCCTACAATTTATCGACGCTTTTAACCTATCGATAAATGTTAATAATCTTCTTTTGAGCATTACTGACCTGGCTCTGCCCAAGCAAACAAAATATAACATTTTAAAAAACTTTTGCTTTAAGCGAAAGAATTGAGGTCCGACATGTTCTGCTTTGTTATCGATAGGCCTACAATTTATCGACGCGTTTAACCTATCGATCTATTTAAATAAGCATCTTATTGAAAATTATGCGTGTTTGTTGTGTCATGATTAAAATATGTTCCAGTCTGAGGCGAGCATGAACAAGTCTTGAACAGGGTTTAGATTAGTTGAATACCCCTTGATCTGGTTTAGCACGAGGAATATGTGAAGAAAAAAACGTGTCTAGGCAACGCATATGAAATTTCTAAATTATATTAAGTCACTATTAAATGAAAAGCATATAATTATATCAGAGCTTCAAACTGAAAAAGCGATTCTGTTTAGGGTTCAAACCAGAATCTGGTTCAAATCAAGGTTGACATTGCTTATTTTTAATTGAAACAATCAAAAAACCTCATTAGTATTATTAAATACAAAAAACTAAAACAATTTGATCCAAATTTCGAAAACTGGTAAGTTCTTGCAGTTTCTATTCGACTTTAGCCTTGATTCAAGAGATCTGTTGCATAGATACAAAAAGAAGTAGCTTACTTATGTTATTTATGTCTAAAGATTCGGGTTTTTACAGGAAGCGCCCTTTTTAGCAGAATCAGCTTGTGTGCCATAACTTACAAACTAGTTATGAGCCCAACTTTTTTGGCTCAAATTTCAATAGTTTAACCTCTACATAAATTAAATAAAATAACTATTTGCATACTTCCAGCTTGAAGATTAGTCATCATCTTAAAGAAATTTATATGAAGTGTGGAAAAATTATATATTATGCAAATATAAAAAGCACAAGTCAAGTATGCAAATAAATATCGGAACTGGTGCCGAGCTGGTTCCAGTATTAATGAATAAAAATAAAAGTTGGCCTAGCGACAAGACACGTAATTGCAGATTGGATGTACAAACATTTACGTAAATTAAACCGGATTCTCGATTTGCATAGCATTACATTATTGCGCGTCTGCCATATATCATTAGGCTAGAGTTTTCCCACAGCCAACCAAGTGGCTAATCATCGTATCGGTAGAGAGAGAGAGAGAGAGTTGGGAAATTGGGAAACAACCCTGGTAGATATTATGGAACGGTAGCTGCTGCTGCCATTAAAAGACAATCTGTTACATCGAAATGTGCACAAATCATATCCAGCCACAGAATTTTATGCCCGAAAAACGTTTTTATTATTCCAGTAAATTAAACGCTCAGCTCAAGTGAGGATTGCGTTCTTATAGAGAGCTAGAGAGCTGTTTGCCCTATTGCTCAATTTCGAGACGGAGTCCCGCGATGCGTCAGGCGTCGACAGTCATTAAATTATCACACATTTAACATCAAAAACAATTCACAACTCACAGCTCACAAGTAGCGCCCCTTGCACCCTCGAAAACCTGGCGACCCTCTTGGCCTTGCCGTTGCCGTTGCCCGAACTCCCCTGGCCGGGACTTGACTTTAACCCCCGCAATCAAATGGGCCAGCCCTGGCAATATGGTGTAGCCGTTGTTATTCTTGTTGTTGTTGCTGTTGTTGTTGTTGTTGTTGTTACCCTGCCGCATTACAAGCTGAAAACATGGTTATTACATCAGGATTGCTGAGGAGTTGGAGTTCCTCCACGTTGATGGAGATGTCTGTAGACGCGGGTGGTGCGGCCCCGCACATGTGGGCGTTGCAAAACGGGCTGGATGGATGAATGCTGTCTTCTGATGATTATGACAGCATGACGACGACGATGCTTTCAGAGCAAACAGCCATTTAGTGATGGGTGCGTGACTAGTGACATGATATAAAACTACACGATGAATACCGCATGTGATATATAAGATAGAAATAGCTGGACAAAAGCCGTCTTCTGATGCATGACGACGACGACGACGCGAGACTAGAGCAATCTACCATTTAGTGACGGGTGCGTGACTCGTGACACAAAGTATTAGTAAACGATTAATACTATATACAATAAATAAGAAGATAAATTGTTCAAGTGAACCAGTAAAACAATAGGAGGATTTCGGTTCAAATCTCAGCTTAGAAAAAAAAAGTTATGATTTTGCAGGAGCCAACGTTTCGTGCTGCGTGCTTCGTGACACGCGCGCATCCCTAGCTGGAGGCCCAGCCGCAGCCAGCGCATGTTCAATTTAGTTTTTGGTTTTTGCATGGCTGCTGTGCAATATGCTGGCCATTAGAGGTCCGCCCTCGCTTGGCGCGGGGGTAACTGATACGATGACTGGCCAAGGAATTGACGATAAATCATAAACGAAACATCAATTCCAGCACTTGACCCGAACGATGCAAAGGACTGGAGAGATTTTAAAGAGCCGTCCCTCCGACTCAGCCACTGCAACGCTCTCCCTCTCTCCCTTTCCCTCTCTCTCTCTCTCTCTACGCTTCTTGCGTGCAGGGAGTCAACTTTTCTGGTCACGTGCCGTCAGCTTTGAGTCCCAAATTAATTAATTGCCAAATGGAAGAAAAAGAGGAGATTGAAAGATTGATTAAGCCGTGACGCACAGACAGCGACGATAACCCTTCTGTCAACTTATCTATCACGCCAACATCCTGAATGGATCTGTCGCAGCCCATGCAATGCACAACAATGCCCATACCCAATACTCCGGCAGTGCCATGCCCATGCCGATGCCCCCGTCCTAACCCAATCCTTGTCTGGCATTTTCACTATTTGCTGCGACGGGACATGATTTATCGACATTTTGGCGGAAATCGCTGCGCCAAAAACCAAACGAAACGTAACTTGGCCCAAAAACTTCTCGAGCCCGAGAAGCATACAGGTTCAACTTTTTATACCCTGAACCCATTCAAATTGATACAAGGGGTATATTGGCTATTTGCATTTGCAGGTAACAGGCAGAAGAAGGCATTTACGATATATCGATATATTCAATAGCTGTTACTATTTTCTAATATCCATAAATATCGATATCGAGCCCTGATTTCTTAAGGATAACTCGAAAACTATTAGATGTATTCACACCAAACTTTGTATGCAAGTTCTCATAGTGTATATACACATTAATAAAAATATACTCTTGCATATCTTGCCACACATCGGAGGTATCTTCTAGTCGGGCACTGCCGACTGCAACCTGCGCCTGTTCCAACAGTGGGTACTCCAAGGAACGGAAACGCAATCGGCGCACTGCCAAAAATAAATTGATTACTGTCACGGAAATAGCTAGAACAGCTCCAATCCACTTCCACACACTGAAGTTTGTTTGTTAATCGATACAGCAGGACGATAGGAGGACACCTTTGCTCGGAAGACTCCCAAATGTCTGAAAGTCAAAAGCAGCTTACGTGTAAATCAGGGCGGCATCTGGCCGTTGGTTTGGGGCCAGGCCTTGGGCGTCACGTTTATAGATCACGTGACGTGGCCATAAATAGTTGGCGCCTGTCAATTAAAGACACCTGCATCAGGTAAGTGAGCGCGGTGGCATGCTGCCCACGCACACCTCAACACAATTCGAAACGGTTCAATTGCGGAATTTCAATTAATTTGTTGCCCTGAATGGAACTTGAAACAAAGCCATAATTTGTTGCAATAATATTTTGGTTAAATTTAACAAAAAACTTAAGAAACTTTAATCATTGCATTAATCTAAAAACATTTTGAATATAAATCAAATGTAGCCCGCAAGTTCTTTATGAAAATATCTACAGCTTGCAATATTTTCAGTAGAACGGGCAGTTAAAAATTAAAAACAAATTTGTTTTACTCAATCTGTGAGCATATATGGCAAAGAAAGGCTTAAGCCAAAGCCCGGGTTCGTAGTTGTAAAAAAAAACAGGCTCACGAATCAAAGCAGAGAGTCGATTAACCTGAACTACCCAAAAATTGTATGTGCTTGCCAACACTGGTTTAAATACTAATTATATACCGAAATATTAAAATCTAACATGAGTGTGGGCGTGACAAAACATTTTGCATACTATACCAAACGACGGAATAAAAAAATATGATTATACTTTAACGTAAAATAATTGTGTTCTTAAGAACTGACAGTCTGATTGATATTACAGAAATCTAATATACCCCTTTTCAATTTGTGAAAAAACTAAATAAGGCACAAATTTCTATTCTATTTGAATTGAAATAAGAAAAGGTACGAAAACAAACGCTGAAGAAGTCGATGGAAGTGGTCTATGAAAGATAAATAGATCTGATAAAATTCCTGAATACCTGGAATTCATTATTATTTATGGATATTTCTGAAAATAAACTAGTATTCAAATGTAATATTTATATATAGTTATTAATTATTTAATGTGAATTGTAGATTACATATATTCAGAAATTTTATCAGACCTATTCATACTTTCATTTGTAAAAA